ATCCTAGCACTTTGGGAGGCCTAGGCAGGTGGATCACCCGAGCTCAGGAGTTGGAGACCAGCTGAGTACCAGGAATACCCCACCTGTAAAAAACAGCCAGGCGTTGTGGCAGGTGCCTGTAGCCCCAGCTACTCGGAAGGTTGAAGCAACAGGATCTCTTGAGCCAAAGAGTCTGAGGTTGTTGTGAGCTATGATGCCATAACACTCTACCGAGAGCAACAAAGTGAACGACTCTGTCTCAAACAAACAAACAAAACCCCCAATCAATTGTATTTCTATATACTAAAACAGAGTATTTGGAAATTGAAATTTCAAAAATAGTACCATTAAATTTAGCATCACAAACCATGGAATACTTAGGAATAAATCTAATTAAATATGTTCAGGATTTACATGCCCAAAACTATGAATTACTGATAAAAGAAATCAAAGGAGTCCAAAACAGACAGGCAGATACACCATGTCTATGGTGTATCATGTTTAGAATATAAAATACAATGGTCCCCAAACTCATCTATAAATTCAATGCAATCCCAATAAAACCCCAATAATTTATCTTTAGAAATCACAAATCTGGGTGGCACTTGTGGCTCAGTGGGTAGGGCACCATCCCCATATACCAAAGGTTGTGGGTTCGAACCCAGCCCTGGAGAAACTGCAACAAAAAATAGCCAGGTGTTCTAGCAGGCACCTGTAGTCCCAGCTACTCGGGAGGCTGAGGTAAGAAAATCACCTAAGCCCAGGAAGTTGCTGCGAGCTGTGATATCACAGCACTCCACTGAGAGCGATAAAGTAAGACTCTGTCTCTTAAAAAAAAAAAAGAAGAAGAAGAAAAGAAAGAAATCACAAAGCTGATCATAAAAAAATTATGGCCAGCCAAACAAATTGGCCAAAACAAATTTGAAAAAGAAAAGAAGAATGTTGTTGGAAGGCTCATATGATTTAGTTTCAAGACATTCTATAAAACTACAAGGGTCAAGATGGTGCAATACTTAGCAACATGATAGACATACAGATCAACAAAATCAGAGGCCAGAAAGAAACCCACATACATATGATTGATGGATTTCTCACAAAAGTACATGGCGATTTAATGTTGGAAGGATAGTTAACTGGATATATTCATATTAAAAAACTGGACCTTGGCTAGACACTGTGACTCATGACTCTATCCTAACACTCTAGAAGGCCAAGGTATGTGGATTGCTTGAACTCATGAGTTTGAGACCAGCCTGAACAAGAGCAAAAGCCTGTCTCTACTAAAAATAGACAAACTAGCCAGGCATAATGGTATACACCTGCAATCCTAGCTACTCGGGAGGTTAAGGCAAGAAGATTGCTCAAGCCCCAGAGTTTGAGGTTGCTGTGAGCTATGACACCACAGCACTCTACCTAGGGCTAAGAGTAAGACTCTGTCTTAAAAAAAGAAAAAAACTTGGACCTTGACTCCATACTTTTATATATAAAGATTAACTCAAATAGATCACAGTCCAAAATGTAAAACTTAAAACCAGAAAAGTTTTGATTAAAAAGTAAGAGAAAATGGGTGGTGTCTGTGGCTCAGTGAGTAGGGCACTGGCCCCATATACTGAGGGTGGTGGGTTCAAACCTGGCCCTGGCCAAACTGCAACATAAAATAGCTGGGCATTGTGGCAGGCACCTGTAGTCCTAGCTACTTGGGAGCTGAGGCAAGAGAATTGCCTAAGCCCAAAAGCTGGAGGTTGCTGTGCGCTGTGATGCCACAGCACTCTACCAAGGGTGACAAAATGAGACTCTGTCTCTTAAAAAAAAAATAGGAGAAAAATCTTTGTGATCTTAGATTAGGTAGAGAGTTTTGGTTGTTTTTTCCTTTTTCTTTTCTTTTTTTTTTTTTGAGACAGAGTCTTATTCTGTCACCCAGGGTAGCGTGCCCTGGCTTCATAGCTCACAGCAATCTCAAACTCTTAGGCTGAAGTGACCCTCTAGTGTCAGCCTCAGTAGCTGGGACTACAAGTGCTGCCACCACAAGGCTCAGTTATATGTATATTTTTAGAGATGAGGTCTTGCTCTTGTTCAGGCTAGTCTTAAACTCCTGAGCTCAAGCAATTTACTGTCCTCAGCTTCCCAGAGGCTTACAGGCGTGAGCCTGAGAGTTCTTATATTACAAACCAAAGCACAATCCATCAAAGACAAAAACTTCACAAAAAAATCTACTCTGAAAAATATTTTTAATGGAATAGAAACACAAGCCACATAATGGTATAAAATATTTGTAAAATTCATAAATGACAAAGATGTGTATTTAGAACATATAAAAAACTCTCAAAAATCAAGATGAAACAATCTAGTTAAGAAAAAAAAGCAAGCAAAAGATTTGGACACAGTTCACTAAATAGGTATATGGATACCAAACAAGCATATGCAAAGATGCTCAACATAGTCATCAGAGAAATGTAACTTAAAACCAAATGAGATACCATTATAAAACTTTGAAATGCTAATAACAAAATAAAACAATCCCCTGACACTGAATGTTG